TGAAGTTTCTTGGGGATTTTAAATTTAAAAAGGCACCTTTTTAGGCCCCATTCCCCAAAGCCCATTCTCCTCCCTCATTTAGTATCTGGTATTTGGTTTTGATTGTTAATAAATAAAAGGAAAATTACCATGAAACAGACCGTGAAAGATTGCCATGGCAAAAATGTAGTTGAGAAGGCATTTGCATATTTAGGCTAGAATTTTTCAACTACTTAAATCCTACACGATGCCAAAGTGATGCAGTTTTGCATTCCCCATTCTCTTACAGTTACAAAATCACCTTTAAAAACAGAAATAAGATATGGCCAGAGAAAGTGAAGGCAATTACTTCACAAGCTAGTCAAGTCAGAGTTGTGTGTCTTCTGCAATACGCTTCTGCTGGTCTGCAGTGATTCCTTTCGAGAGGCACTCACATATATCAGGGAGTTCACTTGATGTTTAAGAAAAAGGAGTCCAAGGTATCTTTTGAAAAAGGCCACCTCAGTTTTCAAATCTGGTTCTTTCTGCAGCCTTGTGGTTGTTCGGAGCTCAGTTTGAAGGTGGCATACCATGGTGCATGGGGACTAAGAAACAGAGTGGGGGAATTCATCAGCTGGGTGCTGCTGTGAGGCATATTTTCTGTTGCGTAAGCCTAGTCTGAGATACTGTTCAGGCAGTCTCTTAATCAACCAGATGATCACTTGTAGTCTGAAGAGAGATTGTTTAAGTTCAAACTGCAGCAACATCACCTCTTGAGGAAAGAACCGTAATTTCTTTGAATTTCCTGAGGAGGCATCAAAGTAACTGGTTGGCTGAAGGTTCATTAATCAACTCTACTTCAGGAAGTGAACAAAGGAAATGCCAAAATTTGTTTTCTAACTTGGTGTGTTAACATGCTGAAAATTAAACAGATAAAAGGTTGGTGATCAGCAAAAGAAATCTTTCCAGTACACAATGTAGTCTTGTCACTCAGGAAACAGTAACTTACTTTAATTTGAAGTAAACATCTTGTTGTGTGGATGTTGAGGTGAAATGTGATGCGAGGTGCTGGTTTAAGTTGACATAATGAACTGATTTAAATTTCTTTGATCCTCTGCAGGATGGCTGGCTGTGGTGAAATAGATCATTCGATCAACATGCTTCCCACAAATAGGAAGACAAACGAGTCATGTAGCAGTGCAGCACCTTCCCTGCAAGTCCCTGAATGTGCTATCTGTCTGCAAACGTGTGTCCATCCAGTAAGTCTGCCCTGTAAACATGTTTTCTGCTATCTGTGTGTTAAGGGAGCTTCTTGGCTTGGGAAACGATGTGCACTCTGCCGGCAGGAGATTCCTGAGGATTTTCTTGACAAGCCAACCTTACTGTCACCCGAAGAACTCAAAGCAGCAAGCAGAGGCAATGGAGAATATGCTTGGTACTATGAAGGTAGAAATGGCTGGTGGCAGTATGATGAACGTACCAGCAGAGAGCTGGAAGATGCCTTTTCCAAGGGTAAAAAGAGCACTGAAATGCTAATTGCTGGTTTTTTATACGTAGCAGACCTTGAAAATATGGTTCAGTATAGGAGAAATGAGCATGGACGTCGCAGAAAAATAAAACGGGACATAATAGATATACCAAAGAAGGGAGTGGCTGGGCTGAGGCTGGACTGTGACACCAACACTGTCAACCTGGCACGAGAAAGCTCTGCTGATGGTGCAGACAGCACACTGACTCCAGGGGCTGCAGCTGTGCAGCCTCTAGCATCCATTTCTGTGAGGCCCCTACCAGCACTAGATGGTCAGCTCGTGAGCCCTTCAACGCCATCACCTGATGCAAGCAATTCTCTAGAGAACTCTTTTGCCCACTTGCAAATAAATGGAGACAGTATGGCTGAAAGGAGTCACAGGGTAGAGGGAGAAGAAGACCACGAATCTTCATCTTCTGGTAGGGTGCCAGCCCCTGACACCTCTGTTGAGGAGACCGAATCGGATGCCAGCAGTGACAGCGAGGATGTGTCTGCCCACCTTCAGCAACACCCGTCCCCTGGTCAGCAGAGACACTTGAATGCTGGTGCAAGCCAGGCAGGAGCAGATAGACCAGGGACAGGGGGTGGGGTGGCAAACACAAGTGTAAGGTCTAGAAGGCCAGATGGACAGTGCACAGTCACTGAAGTTTAAATCTAGAGCCATGCGAAAAAAAACCATTCAGTTGTAATTTTCTGTAAATTTTCTGTCCAAATTGGCATTGCACTCAAACCTAGCAGCGTATTTGGTGGGAGGGTGGGGTGAGGGGGAGAAAACAGATTTGGCCTGTTTTAACTTAAGTCTCTTAACATGTCTCAGCTGGAAGACTTTCTAACTCGAGGAAGCTGGGTTGTCTTGTTAATGGTTTGAAAGCTGTTTAACAATGCCCAGTTTTCTTGAAAATGTCTTGTGTTTATTTTGTAGCATTTTCCCCTTGAAGATATTCTACCCCTTTTTGGCCAATGTATATCTACTGTACAACTTGAATTGTCTTCATTATCTGACTGTTGCATTGTCTTACTACTTTCTGCATGGATTGATGTACGAAAAGAACACTAAAGCTGTGTGAAATCAGTCAAGGTGTTGGGTGTGAGCAGGACGCTTAATTTAATGTGAGAAAATAGATGTGAGTTTGGAGTTAAAATGTGTTTTTACTAGGCAAGAGCAATCATTTACCTTCTTTGAATGGAAATGTAAAAATGCGGTTAACTTGTGTTGCAAATCCTTACCTTTACACTCTCCATGGCTTTTTCACTGGCTTTGCCATCTAGTCCTTGTAGTTTTGTTTTTTGAGATCTTTCTTGATCTGTCTTGTTTTTGTTACAGAATTTATAATTTAATAAAACTACATTTTATCAGTAACAATCTCAGATATGTTTCCAGTTTAATTGAACTTCACTGAAGGAATTTCAAAGAAGATTCTCATAAAAAAGCTTCCCATGTTTACCAAAAGGAATGACTAGTTCTGAGTGGCATCCTGATGTTCTTGCATCCCTGACTGGCTGTCTGTCAAAGGCAATACTGTAGGACTATCATCTTTTATTGAAAAATCATGAGCTGCAAGCTTAATACTCACACAGACATCTGAAGAGCTGATTAACTCACTTCACTGTTGATGGCAGGCAGAAGTATCACACACAGCCTTATTTTAACAGCACAAATGTTGAAATAAAAGACTGTAAGTTGTCAAAGTTGACCCTATAACAAAGGACATGGATATTAAGGATGATAGTGCTGTTCCCCTGTTCATAGCAAAACTGATGGCAGCACAGAAGAAGCAGTTTTGTGCTTGTATTAGCAGCATGGGAGCTGCATTACTACAGACTTCTGAATGTTAAAAGCCAGATCTTGAAAAACACAGCTTGTCTTTTATCTCTCTAGCAGTTCTTTTACATTTTTTCAGATTGAGAAACAGCATTACTTGATTCTGGACTCTGTCTTTATTTTAAAGGTAATTAGACTCCAGTTCTTAGTATATGTATCTCAGAATGCCAAGGGACAGTAGCTGATACATAGGTACTACTGGTCTTAAGTTGCTTTAAGCAAACAACCATTTGAAAGGAATTAAAAGGGCTGACTTTTAAAATGGTAGATTTAAACTTCTATGATCTTTTTACTGTAATGATGGATGACATATCTGATCTTGGACAAGCTGTGCCCCTCCTCCTCCGCCTACAGGTGAGATCAGTGGGTCAGGAAAGTGCAGACAAGAGTAGGATGGAATAAGGAAGATCTCCTTCATTCTCAGCTAGAAATAGATGCTGTTGACCACAGATTTTCACCATCATCTTCCAGTCCCATAAAGAAATAAGCCAATTACATGGACTTCAGAAAGGAAACTGGATGGAATGCTTTTTTCTCTCTTAGTTGCTAGCTATCTTACTTTGATTTGAGTTAGTATACAGTGGCTCTAACCAAAGTATGCCTTTGTGCTGCAAAAACCTTCACTAAGAACACCAGCTATGTGCACACACTTCACTTAATGTGAGTATGGGTTGAAAAAAGCAAGAAATAAAATAAAGGAACATGACTCACTATATACTTAATTTTAGGATTTGCAGCCCAAACAGTCTACAAATAATTCTATCAGTGATTATCCTTGGGGTTTTTGACACAAGTAGAGAGTTCAGCCCCACACCCATGATGCTGTTTTTGGCTCCTGCTGGCTAACTGCAGCTGTGAAACACTAAAATTAAAGCAAGGCTGGTGAGGGCTTAATAGCCAACCATCAGAGCAGCAAATGCACTCCCCAGATCAAGCTAGGGAAAAGTAGTAACTGATAATTCCCATCTTATATTTAAACCATTACTTTCAGTAGGAAATGTGTTTTCTGTTCATTTTAGCAAAGCCACAGCCACACTGCATTATGTGGTTGACTGCAATTCCATGCATTAAGTGATTTTCAACTTGTACAGCATAGCCAGAGAAATGCAGAGTGAAACAGAAGGGAAAATTAAAAAGGAAATTTAAATGCTATAAAATCTACAGCATCTCAATTTCCAGAACAGATAACCCCAGATACAGGAATCCTATTTCATGGCTAAAAAAATACAAATCAGATAGGGAGCCAAGCATTCTGCAAGAACACCTTGCTTATCTAGCTTGACCATCTAGTAAATACATTTCTATCAGCAGCAAATAAGATAGAAGTATCTCTCTTGTTAAAAGTGATCACCAGTATCCAACCTTTACAAGCTTAGTAAAGAATCCACGCTCCTATTAAACCCTTGGGTTGGCCCAGTACACAGAAGAAAAACAAGACAGACATTTCACAATGTAATAGGAAACTTAGTTTGCTGAAGAGGAAACTGGCAAATTAGCCCCTAGGAAGTACAAAAGCTGGCATGCTATTTAATTAGGAGTCTGGGACTATCAATTTTGATGTTTCTAATTTATTTTGTGCATTTAGTGCATGTTTGTTTTTAAGCCATTTCAGAAGGGGGAAAAAAAAGCCTGCTGAGATGAAGCTTGACATCTTTAATAATAGTAAAGAAAATAAAAACATTTATCGATTGCTGGTTAAAGGTATTTGTCACTTTAAGATGATAAGAAAGTATTCTGTGAAATAAAGCATTTAGCTTTCAAATGGGCTAAATGGGATTCCATTTCATCTCAGTCTCTAACTCTCATCCTGGCACTCGTGGTAATTTAGCTGGCCTGTCATTTCTATGAAGGGCTCTGCTTACTTTTAGAAGAAGATAAACCAGAGAATATGGTATTAGACTACTCACAAAATCCTTGATCAAAACCTGCAGTGATCTTCAGAATGCCCTGTACCTATGCTTGGTATATTTAGGATACCAACAAAATGGGTTTCCATAACCCTCTTTGAAACTGCTCTGAATGTGTCTTGCTGTATATTAGTTAATTATTTGTCCTGATTTCTTAGAAGCAAACATCGGCCTTTGATACAAATCACAGAGGGTAGATAGGGAAATATATTTGCTGAAATGAGAATTAAGCTCATTGTTTACAAATCAAAATGGAAAGACATCCCCCACAGGTGTACTTAGCATTCACAAACTGCCAGCACAGATCTGGTTCAAAATATGAAAGAAACCAGATTCTTTGTCCTACAATTTCTTCCCTTTCAAATTTCTAGAACTCAGTACACAGAATACACTTAGGAGCCTAATACACTAAAGAAAAAAAGATTCAAGGATCTTACTCAGGTTCTAAGTTATTTCCACCTCCATTTTAAAAATAATAATAGTAATGGCACATTCATTCTTGCTAAAAGCAAAGACATAACCAGTTGCCCTTTAAAACATATTTTTTTTTACTCACAACAGCATTATGTGCTATTGCTTCAACAAACTCGATGAGTATAGACTGGAGTGTGCCTTGAAGGTTCAGTGATGCAGCTGTCTAGAATCCCTCATGAGTCTTGAGAAACTTCATGAAAAGCAAAATAGCTTCACTACTAAACAGTCAAGTGCTGCCTGATTATACTAAAGCATTTCCACTTGGGTTTGACGTTCTTTAGGGCATGGGAAAGAATCCAGCCACACAGGAGTAACAGCTGGGCTACTGGATAAAAAGCAGCCAGGGGGAGAAAGGCACAAAACAAAACACTACTCTTCCCCATGGTCTCATTCCCGTCTCTTCTCTAATCTGAAAAGAAAAATTGAACTTTATTTTAGGGGAAGAGAGACTTGAAATCTTCCTCCATTGGTGCTTCAGATATTAAGGTGCAGGATCAACAGGGTGGAGGTAAGTTCCTTATCTTCTCTAAGGTGCCAACTCAAAAACATATCCATTTCCTCAGCATTTCTCTTGGTTGTTTCAGGCTATACTAATTGCTGTGAAAGCTATACAGTAAAACATCCCCAGCAGCTCACAGAATCTGCTCAAAACTACAGAATCTTAACAGGCAATCCAAGCCTAATTCCCATCATTGATTTGTCTCCAAGTCCTCAAATATATGTAGTTACCTTGCGAAAACTCAGGACTCCTGCCACACTGCAGAAATTGTAACATGGATTTCCATCCAAGATACTGTCTTCCTTTCTCAAGGGAGCTTATTCCATGATCTTGAGCTAGTTATGCCTGGTCAGAGCAAGAATGCATGTCAGTGGCACACAGCCCAGAGCTTCCTTCTTTACATGCTCCCACAGAGTACTTAGGTCCTTGGCTCAGATCTCAGCCCCTACTGGATTTAGACACAAGTGCATCCTAACCAACAGTACAGGAAACTCTCAGTCACAGATATGTCTATATGGTTTTTCTCTCACAGATGTTTATTTTTAAATCTCTTTAAGGCACTGTGTGTCAGTTTCTAATTTCTAAAGAGAAAACTTTCCCCACTGATTTATCCAATTACTTGCATGGTCACTGGCATGAAGTGGAGACTGAGTTCCAAACCTTCCAATCAGCCCAAATACACCCTACCAGTGAAAATGCATTGAAGAAAGACATAGACATATCCATGCACATCTTAACAGAATGCTGAAGTACTCACATCATCCAGTCAACTAAGGACAAGCCATTTCAGGGCATGATACATCATGGCCTTCCAAGATTTCAGCTAGATTTTGTGTAAAGAACCAGGCCAGCAGCTTTGCACAGGTACAGGATATGGGAATGTGCAGATGCATGTGTGGGTAGTTGATTCCTTGAGGAGTGAGAAGACACCAAAGTACATTTAAAAACCTGAATCAGTGATAGTGAATGAGTGCTAGAAGCTTCTCACTAACACAAAGGTTCTCCTATAAAAGCACCATTAAAATTGAAGGATACTTTCTCAGCAATTACACAAAGAACTAACTAGAATGAAAAAATAAAAGCTATCTTCCACTGGTAATCATCTTTTCTAAGCTGCTCTTAAAGACACTGGTCTCATGTTGGGGAACTTGTATTTTGCAGCTTTAGATGCACCTATTCCACAAATGAATAAACCTCACAACTTTCAAATAATTAATTTCCATCCTAGTTAAAAAAAACAAAACACCAAATAAAATAATCTTCAGCCTCATTCCAAATGAATTATAGTTCTATTTTCAGCACAGTATTTACCTTTACATAGTAATTTCACTAATCTCTATTCAGGGGGTGATTAGGACAGTAGAGAATCTGCCTGGGATTTCTCTGTGGTTGCACACCAAATATGCCTGCCTGACCTAAATGGCAGGAATGTTAATGCCATTTTAAATGGACAAGTCATTAAATGATTCAGTTTAATGGCTGCTTTACTGAAAGCTTTGTTTGCAAAAAGGTCAAGCCCATTTCTTATGCATAAACCATCATTTATGTTTTGGTTTTCTAACCAATGCCTCCAAATTGGCAGGCCCACCCCATACAGTTCCAAAAATGTCCTTCTCTGTCCTTAGGGCATCTTCCAGTGGGAGCTCTCTTCCCGCTGTCACCACCTTTTTCACAGCCCGAATCACAGCGGCCGGACCCTCTGTGTAGTGACTGAGCCAGGCCCGGGCCTCTCCCAGCGCTCTGGTTTGGTCTGAGGACGGCAGCGTCTCCTCGGAGAGCCCCAGGCTCAGAGCTCTCTCGGGGTCCACCCGGGCAGCCCCGCCCAGCAGCTGCAGGGCTGCCCCGCTGCCCACGATCCGCACCAGCCGGGCAGCTCCTCCCCAGCCTGGCACCAGACCCATGTGCTTGTGGACAAACCGAATTTCACTTCCAGGCGTCATCAACCTGTCAATGAAGAACACACAGAGGTCAATCCATGCACTGACTTTTGTAAGCAGCTCGATGGCCCTTCATTTTCTATTTTCTCCTCCCCTCTGCTTCCAAAGGCTGATACAACTTGACAGCATGCTCATTACTGCTGGAGCTGCTGTATCTTAATTTTTACATCACATGGTGCCGTAACTGCAGCTTTTGGCCCTTCTCAAAATTAGATACATATGCTGCTACAAATAAAAATCCTTAGTGCCCATACTGATACCTCCAGTCAGTTCTAAGAAGTGTTGAAAACAGAACTGCAGACAGAGGACATGTTACATTTATTCACACTGCCTTGCTAATTCATTCCTAAAGCAAGAGGGTATTGGGTGAAACCCAAGCAAACTAATGTACAAAACATTTCTCAAGAGAATGGATGTGGTCCTAGTACTAAGCTGAACTGGGAAGGTTCTGTCAGCACCATGGTGATTACAGCATGGGTGGGGCTTTTTTGTTCCATATTTTAGAGATCCATGCGAGTTTGATTTCTAATTGCTCATTACAGAGAGGGAAATCAGCATGGATGCTCAACTTATGGCTCACAATGCATAATATAATTTTTTCTATTTATGCTTGCAATGTGTCATAGAATTGCTCCCCTCTAGAAGATAAGCAACATTCCTCTTTCCAAATATGTCACATCTTTCTTTTCTATGCTTCTTTTGTACAGCTTCTCACCTCCTTTACTTAAGACCTCCTCCTAGGGCTCATTAAGCTATCTCCCTGGAGGAGCTCTGCTGCAGCAGATTGTTCTGTCTTCACACAGTGGTCACACTCACACACATTAGGTTAGTGGAAAAAACCACTAGAAATAGAAACACAGAAAAGATGTACAGAAACAGACCACTACTTGCTCTTTCTCAAAAGTGATTTTCAGCAGTGTGGTTTCTTGCGGCTGATTGTAAGGCAAAGGATAGAAATTACACTTGTGGAGTAGATTAGCTTCTAGTTCATGTACTAATTGGCTTTTTGAAGACAAATCTTGTAATACTGAGGCCAGTATTACCATATCACAAGTCATGGTTTCCGAACCATGCAGTTTTCCATAGTGAAAATACTGAGGTGAGAAGCTTTGAAATGGGAAAGAAAAGGAAAATCTTTAAAAATGCAACTACTTCTAGGAACTCACTGTTCTCACATCTGCTTATTGTTAATTGTAAGTTTGCTTGGTTGCCTTATTCTTAACCAGAGCACCATCAGCATTCATGCCACACTGTACAGCATCAGAATTGAAGAGCTTACGCTTTATCCCACATCCAACACAATGCACAAAAGCAACAGCTGACGGGCCAGATTGCATGAAAGCCTTTTTGTAGAGATAGCAGGGGAAGGTTGTGTGACAAAAGGAAGAAAGCAGAGTATTGCAGGGGAGGAAAGGCTTTAACCTAACATTATCAAGTGCTTCCCAGACCCAGCAAATCCCAGGGAACTCAGGTCTCTTTTCTCAAAAGAATGATTCTGCAAGTATTCCAGAACTCCTTTACTGGCTCAGCTTACTCTGCAATTTGCTCACATCCAGTGTCTCACTGGAAAAGCAATAATGAAAACATTATTAAGGGTTTAATTCTGGCTGTGCCAAGTGATGTGAGGCATTAGAAAAGAAAGGGTTATGGGCAGCTGGGCACCCAATGCTAGACAATCTGTAGGCAGTCTCACAGGACAGCCACCACAGGTGGAGGTCATGTTGCACTTGTATGTTGAATCTGAGATTGTTTCAGACAATGTTTAGTATCTGGGAAGGGCTCTGTTTCCCTGCAGAGTCTTCACCCCCCTCAGAGAAAATGGAACCAAACACCATGAAAGTAAACCACTGACAGCTTAACTCACAGAGAGACTGTGAGGCTGCAGTTTCCAGAACCTAACTGGGATTCACCTCTTCCCACAATGCTCCTTCAAACAAGCTCCACAAAAAATACTGAGGTAAGTGGTAGTCAGTGGAAGGTGTAACTGTAGTATTGGACTGTCTTCAGGCTTAAGAAAGTTATCTTTGGTTTTTCAGACATTTCAACTATGAATCCTCTCCTGAAGTCACAATTTCTTACAGAAACCGCCCATCATACTCTGTGTTAGATTTATCACTTGCAGTCCCCATGCCCTGGAAAGTAATGGAGACCTGAGCTCATGTCTGAAGAGGAGGAAGCAGCTGCCAAGCTAGCCTGGGATCAGCCTCTGAATGCCACTAGCTGCAGCCTCGCATACATATTTCCCTTTTATTGTATGAAAGGAATTGAGTCTATCTTCTGAGACATGACAGATCTGATCTCCCATTAAAAGAATTTATGTAAGAAAAGCACACCAAGAATTACTTAACATAAAGAGGCAGACAGGAAAAAGCTGGAAAGACCAAACTACTATTGCTGAGCTGTTTATACCTTATTCATCTAGTACTGGCCCTGCCTGAGACAGAGTAGTAGATGAATACAAAATTAACCCTGATTTCGAAAGTATGCCTGTTCTTGACTTTCACGTTGAAGGAATTAAAATCTGGGTCCCCTGTATCACAGGGGAAGGTTGTATTGCTAGACTCCTACACATATGCCTTCCCTGCCCTAATAAAGAAAATCTGTTGCATGACAGTACTGAAAAAATATTTATTCAATGTAATTAATGTACAAAGTGACAGAAGATCTTATAGTAAGCAGGGGAATGTCCTTTAGAAATGTGAAGGGTACCAAAATCCTCCCAATTTAAATTGGAAATAAAGAGGTTAATAAGGTAATATAAGCCCCAAAGTGCAGTTGAAACCTTCTTTGAGAACCTTTTATTTCCATGTTATGAACACTATAGCCCCCTAGGAAGAAAGCACAGCCACCATGGGCCACATCCAATTTTGTGTTAGTCATCTAAAGAAAACGAGCTACAGCAAATGTTCCTGCTGTACATTTTAAAATGTTCTCAGCTGCACTAAATGTTACGAATCCTCCCCCTTTGATCTGAGGATTCCTCCATTCTGTGACATCTCATTGCACCCACAAACAACTGACTGTCACATCACACCTCATCATATCACTGGCAATGCACGTGAGAAGAAACCTTGTTTGTTATCAACACTGCAGCCTAACAAATCCCACTGTTATAAAGGCACACTTGCTCCCCAAAGGCAGCACTTGCTCTGAGCTAACAGCTATGCTTTCCTTTGCTAAAGTATTTCCCAGTTACTTGAAGCCAGAGGATATACAAAAAAAGCTAAAAATGCAAACAAAAATATACTTTCTCAATTTTTCCTACCTGCTTATTATACATACTGATGTTACTGAGCTGTTCCAATGGGCATAATTGGTTCCTTGGCAGAAGTAAGATTATAATAAGATTTGTGCTGGCCTTACCTCATAATTTCCTGGACTTCAAGGTTTGAATTATATTTAGCATTTTGACAAGGCAAAGGTACTAATCAAGTTTACTAGGGAGGGACAGATACCACCCTCCATTTCATGCTTTTTAAAAGCTCCTAGAACTATGCTTTTGAAAGCCATTATAGGGAAAAAAAGACACCTAAAATATTATATGTGTTGCCAGCAATTTTGCTCCTATTCCCTGTTTGACTCCCAGTGTCACATAAGGACACAGCTCCTGACTTTTGTTCCTCCCCTTTTAGCTGGCCTGAGACTGGCACACCTCAGAGGGAGGCAGCCAGCATCACACAGTGCTGCAGCACCTGGTTCCCAGCTACGGCTGTACCTGGACATAGCAGCCAGAACTGCAGGAGATTACTTTTATCTCCCCCACAAATACTTTGGTATCTGGCTCTCAAACCACCAATATTAATATAAAAAATAAACAGAGCTTACATTTTTGGGTCACAGTAAGTTCCCTCACCAAATTCGCTACCTTCTTCTATAAATTTCAGTAACGCCTATCTGCCAGGTGATTGAACCAACACAAAGTGGAAACTTGTCCAAAAACAAGAATCAAAGGCCTTGGGGTAAAATTAAAAGACACCTATGATTTTAGCATGCTGTAGAACAAGAGTTACAGAGCTAATAATAAGTCTTCATGTAGAACTACATATTTTGCAAAACATCGATGCAGGACACCCAGACAGATAAAAAGCAATGTCTGTGGTCAGCCACACAACCACTTCAGCACAGGGAGATGGGGAGTGGGGGTTATGGTTAGTTCATCACATGTTGTTTCTGCCACCACGCAGAGAGAAGAGTCCTTCCTTGCTCTGCTCCAGTGTGGGGCCCCTCACACAGAGATAGTTCCCTGCAAACTTCTCCAGTGTGGTTCATTCTTCCACAGGGGGTTGTCTTTCAAGAACAGCCTGTTCCAGTGTGGGTCCACAAGTGCTACCAGGAAATCTGCTCCAGCATGGGCCTCCCACAGGTTCACAGCCCTCTCTTGGGCATTCAGCTGCTCTGGTGTGGGTCTTTTCCAGGGGCTGCAGTTAGATCTTTGCATCCCATGGTCCTCCATAGGTTGTAGGGGCACAGCTGCCTCACCATGGTCTGCAGTGGAATCTCAGCTCTGGTACCTCAAACCACCTCCTTCCTCTTCCTCACTGACCTTGGTGTCTGCAGGGCTCTTCTCTGGCCACAGTTACAACTGCACAGTAACTTTTCTCTCCTTTTTAGATATGCCAGCACAGACGCATTACTGTAATTCCTGATGGGCTCCTTGGCCAGCAACATGTCCATCTTGCAGACAGCTCTACCCAACATGGGGAAAGCTTCTGGCAGCTTTTCACAGAAGCTGTACCTACCAAAACCTGCTACCAAAACCTGGCCATACAAACCTGAAACACCACCCAAACCACATGTGCAACTATTGCAGGCACAGGAAAGGAGAGCTGTTAAAGAAAAAAAGGAAACTACCAGGAACATGGTAACAGAAGGAAGGTTATCAAAAGTCAAACACTTGTTTTAACCAGCAAAGAACAGAAGAACAAAGTTGATGTACAATGCTGCCATACACTTTGCCCAACATGTATGCCTTTCTAATACACTCATCAATACGGCATCAGCTTAATT